AATTATTTAATAAATTTGGGTTATCATAATCTTTTGATGCAGGAAAGAAATGTGGAGTTCACAAGTACTGTACGTGTAGGGGTGTCAATTTTTGACACGACACGAAACACGACCCGAACCTGACTCGGAAAAATTCGGGTTCGGGTCAACCCAAACCCGAAACGGGTCGGGTTCGGGTTCATGAAATCAACCCGTTTTAAAAATCGGGTCGGGTTCGGGTTGACCCGCCAACCCGAAATTGAACCGAAAGTGACCCGAAAGTGACACGAAAAATCATTTTTGACCCGAAAACCCGAGATTGACCCGTTTTTGACCCGAAAAACCCGAGATTGACCCGATTTTTGACCCGAAAATTAGCAATTTTGGGTCAATCCCGGGTCATTCGTGTCGGGTCGGGTTGACCCGGACCCGAATCGGGTCGGGTTCGGGTCCAGAAACCTGACCCGTTTTTAAAAACGGGTCGGGTTCGGGTTGACCCGAACAGTGCCGGGTCAGTTCCGGGTTCGACCCGAACCCGACCCGTTGACCCGAATTGCCTATGTACGTGTGTGTAAGATTCGGTTTATTTTGAAATCACCTTCAAGTGGTTATAGAATATTTAAAAAAAAAAACACTAGGCATTTTAAATTCTTTAGAAAAATGCTTTTTATTTATTTTACTTCTAATCAAACACTTAAAAAACCCAAAAACTCAAAGCACTTGCATTTGAAATACATTACACGTAAAATCTCTGCAAGTCAAATTACCTCTAAAATTATTTTGAGATAATAATAATATAATAGTCGATTTATTATTTAGATATTGCACTTATCTGAAAGCACATTCAAGTATTTTAAAATCATCATAACCAAATTTTAGTCATGATTTTTTTTAATCCTAACCCCTAATCATAAAAAATCATAATCCAATTTTATCAAAATTTAAAAAATAATATTTCAACCTTAAAACCAAATCTCAATCACTTATTAATTTTAACTAACATCAAGTCATTATCTCTTAATTCTAAGGATTTTTAATAGTAAAGTTGTTTTAAGAATGAATTATAAGTAAATCTTTTATACATAAAATATACAAATATATAATTATGGTGATAACAAAGATTAATCCTTATTTTTTAATAGTGTCTTTGAAACTTTGGATAGATTAATTTCATAACTCCTTATTTAGAATTATATTAAATAAAAAAAACTCCACAAATCCTATATATACATGTCTTATTGTAAAATAAATGAGCATGCTATTTTATCATAAAATTTCCTTCAAATTTATTTAATTTCTTGCTTAATTTTCTATAATTATTATGTTCTTTTTTGTTATATTTTCTTTCTTTGTTTTAATTTTTCTAATTTTTTTATTACTTAAAACAATTTCTTTTTATAATTCTTATACTCCTTGATTTTATAAGATCCTAAGAACTTGGCTAATGAACAGTAATTCCTCTTGTGATAGATTTACAAAGTTGACAAGTACAGTAGACTTTTAATGGAATTGGAAAAAAAAATCATACCATCATTAAATTATAGATCACCAATAATAGTTGACCAAGTTTACAATAGACTTTTAATAAAAATAATATTAGAAGTAGCTTACATGAATGCAAACCTTTGAAAAAATAAGAAAAAAAAAAGGATTTTATATTTGGGACAGTTTTTTTTACTATTTTCTAAAGTTATTTTTAAACGGCTTTAAAAAACAATAAAAAAGTTGTACAAAGAAGAAACTTATGTTTTAATTTTTTTTTTTAAATCACATATTATATTGTGACTTTAAATCTAATAAGTCAAAAAATGTATCAGATATACATAGCAATAGAAGGCTATATGATAATGACTCCATCCAAAGTAATAAATAAGAAAGTTCATGAAATTTGAATAGAGATTTTCAAATATATGTCACTAGGGGTGTCAAAATTGAGTTTCGGGTCAAACCCAGCCGGAACTGACACGGGTTCAAACTAGTTGATCTAAACCCGATTAATTTTGCAAACGGGTTGATAACGCAAATCCGGACGCAACCCGTCAGGTTATACCATGTTGACCCGACCTGACACGGTTTTGTATACCAGGATACCTTATTCGTAGATGTGATGGATGGTGGAGCTCGCATCAACGTCGACAAGCGAGGCTAGCACAGGATAGCGGGGCTCACGTCGATGGTGGCAGGAGAGGCAATTGAAGACTGACGCCTGGAGGTTAACAGGATTGGTGCCTGGCGGTCGATTGGTCGAGGTCGGGACTAGAGAGTGGATCCTGACCAGTCGACAGGACTGGCGCTTGGTGTGATGGATATGATAGTGTCACTCGACTAGTCAACTAGACCAGGACGGTTGACGTGACTAGGCGAGTTCATGGACTCGGGATTCACACGAAATGTGGCAGTCATTTTTCTAGGTCAACCTGGGTTGATTTTGGGTTTCCGGGTCAACTCGAACCCTACCCGGTTTTGCCAATGGGTCAAAAACATGAACCTAAACCCTACACGTTTCTCAAATGGGTTGACCCAAACCCGAAATTTTTGGGTTGGATTCGAGTCGGATTTTTGGGTTGTGTCAAATATTGACACCCCTATCTGCCAGCATATTTATGAAAGCACAAAAAATTTGAAGAGTTAACGTACATAATAATGAAGGTACCAGAGATCAATCCATTAATTGATACAAATAATAAAAATGGAGAGTTGAGTCATGCATATAAAGAGATGGATCCCAACAAAGTTTTACAATCCTCTTACCAGAGATCAATCAACTTAGTTGATAGCCTATAAAAGGAAAGAAAAATAGTTTACAAATCAGTGCATTTTGCAACAGGATCCCAACAACAACTGAGAGTTGGAAAAATCTAGCAAGGTATCCAACATCAACAAAAAGACCCAAAACCATCAACAAGGAGCCAAATAAATCATCATCTAAAGTATAATGATTGTATATTTGATGGTAAAGTAACTTAGAATTTCCATTTCATGTTTTTTTTTTCTCTTATTAAAAATAAAAGATTTTCTCTTTTAAATCATACGATTTGATCTATCCTCACTCAAAGTGATCATGTTATTGTCGATCCAAAGTTGGGAAGTAGTAATATGAAGGCAGGAAGAGAAAATCTTCGGGTAATCTTACAAAAGAAAATCTTAGTGTGAGTCAAAACTTGCGAAAATGAGCACCCTTTTGAAAAAATAATCATATTGAATGCACTTTTGCAGATTGCCAAAGGAAACCTAACAATCAAAAAAAAAAAAAAACAAAGGAAACCTAAAAAAAAAAAAAAAAAAAAAAAACATGTATTTGTTAGAAATGTGTAGAATTTGATTGCACTGATCAGTCAGATTATATTGTTGCCTCAGACTTTAGGAGGGAGGTCCTTCCTTTGCAACACTGGGAAAAATTTTTTCCCGTACAACACCCCTTGTCACTGTCTACTCAAAGCACATCAGCGTTATGTACCTAAGCGCCCAAACGTTGTGTTACCAAGCACCCCGATGCTACAAAATTTGATGAGAGAAATTAACAACACAGAGCAGAGCATCACAACACTCTAGATTTGACGCCGCAACGCAGTGGAGTGTTGATGCAACAGCGCGGCGGATTAAAAGACCGCAACATTAGCAGGCAAATTGGGATTAGAGGCCTAAGCACCGCAAAGCTTCAAACTAGTGCCGCATCGCTTCGAGGCGGATTGAACAATTTTCTTTCTCGTTTTTCTCAAGGGAGAAGAGAAGCAAGGAGGGAGAGCAAAGAGAGATTTATACTTATTTCTCCCCATGTCATAGTGGTTTTCTTGGTTTGATTTGACTCCGTGATTTTTTCTCGATTTTGAGTTTTTCCACATTAAATCTTAATGTCGTTCGTTTCTTTCTCAACTTTTACTTTTTTATTTGTTTCGTCGCGTGGCGTACTTCCATCCCCAACTGTTTTTCAATGCCAAAGTTATTAAGGATATAAGTTTGTTCAACTGCAAATGTTACGCAAACAAAATATCTTTAGGTTTACGACCTTGAATTTAAAATTTTCAAACAAATAGTGTATATTTATTTACACGCCCTTTAGACCATATAAAAATTTCCCAGTTTACTGTAACTAGATTTTATTTAATGCTCGTCTAACTATAATTAGTATTATAATTGCTAATCGGAAAATTCAAATTTGGTGGCAGCAACTAGCATTCGTCTCATTAGTAAGCCTGTAGGCAAATTTCGAAGACCGTTAGAAATAAAGTCTTTCACGTTCACAGAGTAGAAGTAACCAAAGCAAGAACGAGTTTCAAGATGAAATTTGTCAATAAAAGAAGAACCAACAAAGTCAGGATAAAAAAAAAGAGAGAACTATATATCCATCCTTGTTAACCTTAAAAATATGCCAGTTTTGAATTTTAATAGCACTATTATGCAAGAAATTCAAAGAGAAGAAGCCTCAGTTATAGTCGTGCATGAATTTAAGTCATAAAATAATATTTTCATCAAGTAGAGGAAGATATATAATATTGCATTATTATATTGATGTTTGTGCTTCTCTTGAATTTTATATTTCTAAGAGAAAAAATTATGATTTACTTCAAAATTTAGTTCACATGCTCATTAATTCATGTAGATTGTGTTTTCATATAATAAAATAATTTTTAATCATAATTTCACTGATATTAAAATGATTTATCAGACAAGTTAATGAAGAGAAATATAAAATTCATTAAAAAAAAGAGTTTGAAAATGCGTAAATTTAATGTATTGCCAGGTGGTCATTCACGGGTGTTCATTATATGATTGTGATGCGATTCCAATGCAGAGTTTATGGGCTTAACTGGGTTGCTGGGCGAGCATGGTTGGGAATCTCCCAACCCAGTTCGATTCCCATCTCAAGTGGCGCGACCCCTTAAGTTGAGAGAAAATAACAATGGGTCCTGCACCTGTGGGACTAATTGTTGACAGGCTCGCCAGAGATTAGTTATGCCGTCAAATATCTCTTATGGGACAGTAGCAGCAAGTTGATACCCCCATTTCCCAGAAAAAGAATCTCTCTTTCAATTGGCACTAAAATGTGATGTGGTCTATCCACATATCGGATCCAACAACATCTATTATTTCACCTTTAAAATTTTATCTTAAACAAAACTTTTTCATCGATTAAATCACAATTAAATGTGATGCACTCTAAATTATAGCTACTATAGAATTTAATTACAACAAAGAGTCTTCAGGAACCGACAGTCTTAGCAACTCCTCCAAATACTCAGTTCCCAAATCCTCCAACACCAAGACTCCCTCCACCTTTTCCTCCTCTTCTCCTCTCTCCTTAGCTCCAATCTCCGCCGACTGGCCCCTTAACCTCCTTCCCCGAACTATATTCTTCTTCTTAATAGCCAGCAATGGTGACAACGATATCTTCTCCTGGCTTCCATTCAACTCCTCTCCTTCAAGCGATTCCCTCACTCTCTCCACCGGAAAATTGAGCACTGCCGTTTCGCCTCTCGTGGAGAAGGCCGCTTGGTCGTAGACCAGCGCTGCCTCTTCTGCGCTTTTGAAAGTTCCCAGCCAAACGCGCTTGCCGCGTTGCGTTGAGTCCCTTATCTCCGCCGCGAACTTCCCCCACGGTCGCCGCCGGACGCCGATATAGCAGCTGCTTCTTTCCCGCGGCGGCGGATTTGTCTCCGGCGACTGTGTTTGCGCGTGAAAGAGTATTGTTGGCGCCATTAGCTTGTTTGGACGTCTTCTCTGTTTCAACGAATATAAATTGTTAGGACTTTGCTTCGCCGTCGGAGGGGAAGATTCGTGGCTTCCGGTGTAACGGTTCGTGTAGCGTCGGCGTTTGTTTGGGACTCGAGGACCGGTCTTGACCACTTCACCAGGCGCCGTCGCTATAGGAAGAGCAACAGCGTGCGGGCTCAACGGTCGATTTCTTATGATAAAAGGTCACGTGGGCGACGCCAACTGGCTCGTTAAAAAACAACAAAATTGACGTCATCTATGATGGCGTTAATACGATCAATAAGGCTCAAACAAACCAAAGGCTCAACAGCTAATGGCCTCTCAAATTAATTAGAGTCCATATATGATCATTTGGTTATTAAATTAAATAATTTAGAATTTTATTTTGTAAATATGATGAATAAATTAATTTGAAATCTTTATACTTATTATCAATTAATATCCTAATTAATCATTATTTAATAATCAATAAAATTAATTAATATGATAACATCTATTAATTAGATTCAATTATGAATATCTATTTAATTAATAACAAAATTATTAATTTATTTAAATATCTTCTCACAATCAGACAATCTAGTAAAATAATGCCAAAATTTTAATCCAAAGTAGCTAGTGTTGACTCTCTGTTGCTCATATATAATAACTTGAAAGGCCAAAATCTCTCCTGCTGCTTTCTCTCTTAAGATATTGCACACTCAAACTCTCTAAAATGCTAACCAAATTCTCAAAACCCTCCAAGACAAGTTCGAAAAGTGGCAGATTCTTATGATAAAATACATCTTTGGAGTCAAAAATGTGTGAACATGAAGACGGCTCCTGAGTGAGGTCTCTCAACAGGACAAACGAGCGGGAAGGAGAAAAGAAATTTGTCGACCAAACTCTAAGATAATCATTATCAAAATAACTATTATCTTCTAATTATCATATATCAATGTTTATTGGTAGCTTAGGCAATGAATTATTGGCATGGACCTATTTTAAATGTTGGGAACTCAAACATCTCTCTCTCTCTCTCTATATATATATTATCATGACATTGAGAAAAATTTTAATTTTTATACTAAAAAATTGCTTAAAGAAGCAACAACAAAATTGTACCAAACGATGCCTAAATGTCTTAAAAATAATTCTTATTATATAATATTAGAATCTTAGAAGATTTTTTTTAATTATAAACCTAAACTAATAAATGAGCCCGGACAAAGTAAATTAACCTTACCAAGCTAACATGTTAATTGTTCAATATCATCAAAAATTTTGCCCAATTCGGTCCACTTTGACTTATAGCTTGAAATATTTTTATATTTTAGGTCTTTTGGGTAGTTAGTTTAAATATTTTTTTATTTTAATATAGGCCAAATTTAATTTTATGAATTCTATAAGAAATTTTTAAATATTTACCTATTTAATTAATTGGCACGTGCCATTTAACTTTATAAAGTATAAACTGAACAGATGCCTCAATAGTGTGGTTAAAAAAAAAAAACATAAAGGCCCAACTTAACTGGTTTAGCATACTAATAAAGCCCATCACTGGAAGGCCCGTCGATTATAGTTATAGATTATACCTATATTCCTCTTCCATGGATTTAAGAGGTGAAATTATTTGGTGCAGGTCCGGACGTAGAGTCCAATGCAAGAACAATTATTAGGTCAGGTGACCTGACTTAGGTATGCCTTCATGCACTAATAATATTTCGCCACATCTTCATACTTTTTACCGCGCGGCCCGACGACCCGACCCGGACCGGAACCCGAAATTACTATGTTCGCGTATTGCTAGGTATTGCTCGGTATTGTTAGGTATTACTTGGCAATAACGAGAAATACCGTTTTGTGAAGACCAATACCGACTAATACCGAGAAAAACTCGGTATTGGTCTTCACAGAATGATATTTCTTATTATTGCCGAGCAAAATCGACCAATACCTAGCAATACCGAGCAATACGCGAACATAGCAATCCCGGGTCCGTTCCGGCTCAAGTTGTCGGGCCGCGTGGTAAATAGTGAGAACACGTGGCACTAATTTACTGGTGTCCGAACGTAGAGCTACGTTAGGTGACCGAACCAAATAAAAGTTTCCAATCCAAAGGCCCCACATATTTTTTCATTAATATATTTTGTGCTGTCACATGGATTTTTTTACTAAAGCAGGACCCCATAACCCGGCTTGGCTATTTTACAGGTCGAATATACCGTGTATACAAGTGGCCGTATCGGTTTTAATTTTAATGGAAAACTGTAAAAATAATAGAATTCAAGCATATATGTGAATGGATCAACACACGTTTCACATTGAAAACAAATGCTTGTACTAAATTTACATGGAAAAAACGTTGTGAAGAGAAGAGCTTGCACTAAACAGTAGTTAACTAACAAGGGAGGATAGAGCTTGCCTTCTTGAAGATAAAGAGCGGTTTGTGATCAGAACAATCCTTATGTGAGCTTGCACTAAACGGAGAACAATCCGAAAGCAAAACCCTGAAAATGTTGTAAGCTCTTTTTCAGAATTGAAGGAGATGACGCTTCTTCACCATTTTTTCAAAATATTTTACTCAGGATCGGGCCGGGCAGGTCGTTAGAAAAAACATATGCTGTCTTTGAATTGGAGTCTGAATATTGAACTACATCCGGACTCCGCACCAAACTAATCATTTTTATTTCTTCAAAATGGTGATCAGCCAAATATGTAGATTAAGTTTATAAATCATTATTATTATTATTATTATTATTATTATTTTACAATATTAGAATTGATCTTGGAAGGATTAAATCCAAAAGTCTGACACAAATTGTTGGACAGTTTTTTTATTGTGTAAAATCATAAATTTTATAAAATGTTTATTTGCATAACACTTAAATATTTAAATAACATGAAAAACATCAATAATATTAACTTATTATAAATAAAATATATCTTTTTCGTAATTTTTATTAAAATATTTCTAACAATCTTAGATTAGTGGAATTATTTTTTAAATTACATCAAAATTTTCTTATGTTTGTTTATTAGAATGTAACTATTAAGAAAAGGTTATTGTCTATTAATTTTGTGGATTATATTTGTTACATGGTTCAACCTCTACTTGCAAATAAGATCTTTATGGAATAACATCATATATTTTAAGAGTTTAAATTACATCATAAAGTGAACTACAAAATAAATTTGAAATTCATCAAATATTTACACTCCATTATTTTTTCTTCTATTCAAACATCAAAATTTTTAAAATCTATATATTTAAAACAATTTATATTTACTTTTAATTAAATCAAAGAGCCCTTTTAACTAAAATTTTTTCTTAAGCATACTCAAGAAAGAAATACTCATGCTTCTGCCCTTTTGATCGATCACCCACTGATCAACCAAAAATATTTAAGGTTTTTTCGGAATAATTTTTGTCAATTATTTTTTCATTAGTTTCAAAAAAAAATTATGCTAAAAAGTTGTTAAAATTAGTGAGGAAGCATTCTCAAACTAAACCTTGTTAATGGATTAAAAACATAGTTTTGCAAGACATCGTGATGCAGAGCATCTTAACTAAATTACTTCTTAGGCATATATTAATTAGTTTGTTATGAGCTTATTACAATTATCTTCTAAATTGTTCTATTTAGCTTATATAAGCAAGTATTGTAGGAGGAAAAGACATTGAATGAATAATATCCCTTTTATGAAGCTTTGAAGCTTGTGTTCCTCTTGTTCCTTGGATTGAGATTAAATCCTTCTTGCAGGTCGATTCTTCCGACCATCCACTACATTACATCGCATCTCATCTCATGTAGACTTCATTTAGGATAACTTTTTACTATTTTTTTTAAATAACTTTTAGTTAAAAATTTTTTTGAACTTGAAATTTTTATAATAAAAAGTTGTTTTAAAACATACTAAGAGAGTTATCTCGAATGAAACCGTATACTACTACATCTACACCACAATTCATTTTTTTTTTTTAAATTCTCACCACAATCAAAAGAATATTGCCAAAATTCAAAATGCGCCAATCAAACAATACGTATCTCAGGCACTTCTGATGGTGGCATGGTGCCGAACAAGCCTGACAAAGAAGAGCAATTATTAGGTCCTTTCACTGGATGTAGAGGAAGGTTCGGTTTTAGCCAAAAATAGGTAAAAAGTGCAAATACCGAGTTTTTTGAAAAACTCGGTATTTTTTCAAAAAACTCGGTATTTGCACTTTTCTAGGCAAAACCGAACCTTCCTCTAGGTCCTTGCACCGGACCAAATAAAAACTCCTAAGCTAAAGGGGGTTCTTCCCCTATTTTGAGCCAATTATTTCTCAAAAATTTTCAGGAGAAAAGTTATAGAAAGCCTATAAATTATTTAGGCTTTGTTTAGGATAGTTTTCTTATTTCTTTCTAAAATTTTAATACAAAAAGTTCTTGAAAATAACGAAAAATAACGGCAAAAAATTATCTCAAACGAAACCATATTTGTGAACCAATGATCATTCATATAATTATAATTTTATTATAAATTAGAAGGCTAATATAATATTTCTACCTCATTTATTAGTTAGTTTCTATTTGTGCTAATATTTCAATAAACGAAATAATATTTGCAAGGTTATGTTTCCCATTAGTCATATTTCAAAACTATCAAAAATTCAAAATGTACATTTAACTCTATGTTAACGTCATGTTTTATTTATCTTGTCATACATAATACATTTAGGCATCATAGAATATAATGTTTTTTTTTTTTTCAAATTACTTTTATAATTCTCCATGCTTTCTTTCTGGATATTTGGATGCATTTATGAGTAAAGTAATTTTTAATAAATTATATAAATTTAGTTTAATTAAATTATTAGCATTAAACTTTAAATTTCATTTTGATATTAATCCCTTTATATGTCACCAAAAATCATCTTAATTATACATGAATCTCAAAACATATATGAATTAATAACTTTCAAAATTAAATTCAGCACCATCCGAGCTCCAATTTCACCAAATTTATAATCAAATTGAATGTCTAAATGAGATGAACCCACCCACACCAAAATTGGTCCAATTCTAGCCCAAATCAAGGGAGCAAAATAAATTTAGAAGCTTTAGAGCATTAATTGGATGACCAAATGATATCCAAAAAGAGCATGCTTATAGTCGAATTGAGCGGCTCCATGTCCAAGATAACTTATTCTGACATCATTAAGACACATAAATACTAAACAAATACTCAATGATCAAGGGAATCATTATGAGCTGGCTGATGTAGCACTCCAAATTTGTCTTTGATCTT